GAAGGCATGACATCATTGAAAAACTCACAGCGAGAAACAGTCTTGAGGAGAAAGATGACACAGCAATGCATTTCCTTTAGCAGTAGTAGTAGTAGTAGTAGTAGTAGCAGTAGCAGTAGCAGTAGCAGTAGCAGTCGCACACAGTCTGACAATGACGATGACTTTGACTACGACTGTTGCTGTTGCTGCTACTCTGGCGGTTACTGGTTCCTGTTACTATGCCTGACCAGCCTGTCATTATAGCTAGCATCACTGTTGATATTCTGATTGTTGTTTCTGTTACTACAGTCATGTCTCTAAGTATTAACTGCTCATACTATGACTTCTTTTCTAATAAACCCAAAACACCCAGAGACCTGAGAGCATCACCCCCAAGTTGTCAATCCCCGAAGCACTACACCTAAACCCAACAAGCAGAAGAGAGTCTAGGGTTGAGCCTCAATGTGGCGTCTCTGCTTTCCTGCCCCGACACGTACGACCTCAAGCAATGAATGCTACAATGTATATAGTGGCTTCATGATAAGCATTAATTGTGTCACTAACTTCTCGTCCTTGCGGACTTATTTCCGATACAACATCATACCACAAAGCCTGCTTCTCATCACCGCTCGCCCCCATGCTTCCCTTGCAGAGGCCACGATGAAGGCTCAGCCAACAAATCGTCAGCTCCTAGCGCTTCTTCTGAGGCGGGGTGCGCGAGCCAATACCCTGACCCCCGGGAGGATCCAAAAGTAGATACCTTAATGGGGGTTCCCATAAAGTACCCTTAGAACTATAGGGCTCCAAATTAGGGGATCTACTTTCTAGATCCTCCCGGGGGTTTGGGTAGAGGTTTCGGGCCTAGGGTCTGCACGGATTATTTGGTGCTTAGGGGTTTTGCGTGCGGTTTGGGCTTCCTCCTTGTCATTGATTTCGATCTCAGAAAGATGGTAGGAAGTATGATAACAGCAAGACTAAGGGTAACGACTGATATGACTAGATAGAAATGGCTGTGAAAAAGGCTTAGAGTCCAGAACTAAGCGCAGTAAAGGAAACCCTCACGGAAACCCTGAAGCCTTAGCTGAACCTGAGAACCCCAACCCTCAAACTCCCAAGAACCCCCTCAATCCTAAACCCGACCCTAAACCCTAAACCCTAAAACCCTAAACCCTACACCCTAAAACCCTGAATCCTGAAACCCTGAACCCCGTGCCCGAGCCCCCAAAACCAAACCAGAGCCCCGCAAGCCGCGAATAAAAAGCCCAACTCGAAGGGCAAACGGCGCCTGTGATGGTTGTAATCATAGTATGATACACCCTGTCCCACCGGAGTTGTTTGAAGGGCTTCGGGTTTTAGGGTCTAGGGTTTGTCGATGGGTTTTGGGGCTTGGGGGATTGTATGGTATAGGGCCTTAGTTAGAATAGGGTTGTGTTCCTTGGAATTTTATAGCATAATATACCCCCAAACGCCATTCTAGTTATTAAGGCTACTGCAGTACGGTTTTTTTGGGGCATACAGACCTTTTGCAGGTTCGTTACAGAGCTTAGTGCTCAGGGATAGCTCTCTAAGCGAGCCCTGTCTGCGGCTCGCTGTGTAACAATGCCTAATAAAGCAAAGCACCCATGTAGCTTCAATCACGAAGCTCCGAGCGCAAAGATTAGTTTGGTAAGTAGCTTCCACCCAGCCGCGAAATGATGCAAACGTCAACTCAAGCCTTGTGGCTGCATGCCGTACTTCACAAGGATGTGCCTTCGTTGGATGCATCAACACAAATACGGCGCATCGAAACAGTGCGCAGCAAACAGATAGTCAACTCGAGTGCGGGCACGCTGCCCGTGCAATTTTTGTTTTCATTGCCTTCTCCTTCAACATCGCGGAGGATCTGGAAAGTAGATCCCCTAATCTGGGGACCTATACTACTAAGGGTACTTAATAGGAGCCCCCATTAAGGGATCTAGTTTTTGGATCCTCCCAGGGGTCTGGGTTTCTCCATCGTCATAATAATCGTAAGTGTCACACGTGGTCACACGTAACAGCCACAAGCCCCGAGCCGATACGCCGCTAGACCCTGAAGCCCTAAGCCTTAACATCCCTAAACCCTTACTCCGACAGTCCTAAACCCCAATCCCCGAAGCTGAAAAGCCTGAGCGAGCAGCCCTCCAAAACCAGATCCTGCCAAACCCTAATAACCCTGAAAGACCCCTTATGCTGGCTCTCGTTGTAACCCCTCTAAGCCTAAACAGTTCAAAAGCTGCCAGGAAAAGGACAAGGATATCCCCTTCGAACCCAGCCATCCGAAGATTCCTCCGTACATGCTCCCGGGCTCAGAACAGGCTTAGAAGGGTGTTGAGGGTTTGAACACTGGCTTTTGTTGTTTAAAGGGGTTCGGAAGTCGGCTGTGGAGTTATCTCAGGTTTTTAGGGCTTAGGGTTGAGCACTTAGGGCATTGCGGGTTAATTCTTTGGGTTTCGTGTTTCGGCTTTGAGGTTCAGACTTTAGGGTTCGGGGTTTCGAGTTTAGGGTTCAGATCCGAGACATGCTACAGCTGCTACAGCTCGTTACCATGCGGAATAAGTTCACGAAAAAATGCCTTGCAACTCTAAGGAATACCTCGGGACGCTCCAAGTACTGGATGCAACTTGGCCGCCTTTGGTGTGAGGGAGCCAAACAGCCTCGATCGCTCCACGGAGGCACGGAGACTCTGACGCAGCGCATCGAGTGTCGCAGCCGCCTGCCTGCAGTCTGGATGTCGTGTTCATGATCATGCTTCCCCCATGATGGTGAGGATAGCATAGCGATGATGGTGAGGATGCTGATGACCACGACGAGAATGTTGAAGAGGAGGAAGAGCAGGAGGAGGACGAGGAGCGGGGGCGAGGGGGAGGAGGAGCGGTAAGAGGCGGACGAGGAGGAGGAGGAGGAGGAGGAGGAGAGGATGATGGTTAAAACTCCGATGAGGTTGATGATGGTAATGCCCACGAGGAAGTTGGCTATGCGCAGCATGTTCACGACTGCGATGATACTGCCTGCATCTTCGTGATCAGCATCAACAGCAATGCCGCACGCATTCCGTCATAGTTAGCCATCAACATCACCGTCATCGCCACCACCATTACCATCTCCATCAGCATCACCATCATCATCGCCGCCATCACCACCGCCGTCATCACCTCAATCATCACCACCATCACAATCATCCTGATTATCATCGTTGGCAGCGTCGGCCACATAGTGTCATCTTGACTAGAATGACTTCTGCACGAGCCTCGGGATTCGAGCTGTTGGCTGTTGCGGGGCTGTTGCCTTTTTCTTGTCAAGTGCGGGAGGTAGTTGGTTCCCGTGTATATGCGAGTGCTGCAGTTAGATGTTAATAGTAGGGTGTTGGTGTATACTGTGCTATAAGTGTATATGGACTACAAAGCAGCACTGTTGCCGATTCTTCCGACCACAATATTGGATGAAGCCGGAGGTATGAACAACGAGCAGAGTTAGGCTGCCTTTGTGCGCGGGTGGCTCTTCTAAAGTCAAAATAGCAACCAGTACCTGTTGCCGCGAAACTTCAAATGAGTTCCAAACCCCCAGATCTTATACAGTACCCCAAAATGCTCTAAACCCCCAAACACGATAAACCCAACCCCTAAACCTCGAGCCGCCAAGACTTCCATAGTTGCCACCAACATCTTCTGCTTCACATGAGAGGGATCTGCTAGGCTGGGAGCATGTAGGCGCGAAGCCCTAGATGAGCGCCTGCGCTCTGATCTGGGTTCTCGTTAAGTAGTTTAGTATGAGTCACCCGAATGAGGATCTGAAAAATGTGACTTCCTTATCATGGTAAGCTGGATGAAAAGTTCTTAAGAAGAACCCCGTGATTCCTGAAGGTTTGACGCCTCCTGACCCCTAAGCCTCATCCGGTAGACCCTTACTACTGAAATCCCCAAACCGAAGAAATCTAAACTCCCGATCCCGAGACCATGATCCCGGAGCCCCACTTCGAGAATCATGCGACTTAGTAGAAAGGGTCGTAATTCAGGTGAGTGTAGTCAGAAGTATATAATCCCATACAGGGCACTTATAGCACTTATAACCTTACTTACTAAGTCCCTCGATCCTCCGATCATGTTGGCCGGCAAAGGAAGCCCATCCACCCTCACACGCAGGAGGTCGGGCATTTGCTACACAACAGGGTTTTGATGCAGCATCTGTCCATCTCTTTGTTTGGACAAGAAAGACGCCGCTTTACGCCTCTAAGTCTTAATCCCACTAAAGCCGGTCTCATGCCGGAGCATGCTTGAAAACAAGGTCCTGCTTGACTGCATCTCGAACTGTGGGAAGCAAGTCCTTTCAGCTTCCGTGCAATTGGGCCAGTTCTTTTTGGCAGTGTTTGGAGACGCTCAAACTCATATTGCATGTCTGTTCATAGTCTGGTTATCGACTTTAAGATTTTGAGGTAATGTGCCTTCTTTGTATGCTGTGACGTGTATACCCTGGGTTCACACCGTAGTTTCCAAGTACCTCCTTTACCTAATACCTTCTGCCATACGTTCCGTGTCCGCGGAACCAGTGTTCAACACCAGAGGTGTTGAGGCTTGATGAATTTCGGGTACTGTAGAGAGTTTTGGAACATGATTTGCGGTTTCGCTGCAGGTGTGTGATTTGAGGCTTGGGGGTCGGGTTCCTTCTTGCGATAAAGATCCCAGGCCTGCAACTAGGGTCAGGGGGGGGGTCTTGTGTTTGGACTGCGTGGCCGGCTACAACTGCGGTCAAGAGTAATACAGGAGCATGTTCAGAGTAGCTTTTGCCTGAGGTGCAAGCCTAGCAATCAATTACTAAGTATACCAAGAACGGTATTGGCATGTTGCTCAATACGAAAAGCCCGTAAAGCGTAGATTCAGCCATTATCATATGTATATATATATATATATATATACATATGTACATATGATATCTGGTAAATGATACAAGGCATATATATATATATATGTATGTGTGTGTGCGTACACTTGATTGCATATGTACTCGTAGGTACATAGATAACAGATATACAGAGGGAGGGAGACATCCAGATATTGGTAGATAGGTACGTAGATAGAGATGTCTATATCTTACTTATAGATATAGGTATAGACATACGCAAACACGTTTTGGGGATTATACCCCATAATTAAGGGGTCATAACCCACAACCCTAAACCCTAAGCCCTAACCGCCTAAATCCGATATCGTCTGGTGCTTAGTAGGGAATGGGGGAATGGATCCCTATAGTAGTCCTCGTATAATCCCCAGTAATAGTGTCCATAATGCATTCCCCCATTCCCTACTAAGAACCAGACAGGGACAATAGATACCCTAAGACCCCTTATACAACCCTTATAGGACCCTTTCAAGGAACCCCTAAAGGAACCCTAAGAACCAGACAGTATATGCCTTGCACCAGGATGCCATCCTTAGCACCGAGGAGGTCCTGGCCCTGGGTCCCGACGAGGCTGCAACCAAGAGTTGTCTGCGCAGCAAAGGGGCCTTAATAGGGTTCCTTTAAAGGGGTCTATAAGGGCTACTATAAGGGATCTCTAAGGGTACTATAACATTAATATAGGAGCCCAAATAATTACCAATACTATTTTGGGGGCTCCGTATTATAGTTATAGTATAATGGGCCCCACAGCCCTTTTCTTATTATTAAGGACCTTACATAATTTTAGCCGGGTTGTTGTTAAGGTGAAATTCATTGAAGTTGCCATAATGGGGATCTGTAGTACATAACATGGGTTCTTGATAACCTACATTAAATCCCTTAACAATAACCCAGTTAGGGTGTCTTTAAAGGTTTGGGTTTCAAATTATTGCGTTACTTGCTTAGTAAGCCCAAAGGCTCAAAGCCTCAAAACCTAGACCCCTGAACCTCCAACCCCAAACCCCGGGCCCTCAAATTAGCAAGCCCCACCTCCCACCTGTGTTCTCTGTCTCTTGGGGCTTAGGCTCTGCAGGAAGATGGGAGTCACTAGGTGGAACTCCCACGTAAACCCCACCCACAATGCGAAAACCCCATCCACACAAAACAAAAGCACGATTCAAAAGCCAAAACCACGGTTCTACAATAAGGGAGCTGCAGTGGATGATGTCGAGGCCTTACAAACTTCAATAGAGGTTTTCCAAGCAGTTGTTAGAGAGGGAGCAATAGTTATTCAGAACACTCCCTTGAGATCCCAATACCCCTTGATTAAGGAGCATACCTGAAATCATCATATCAAGCCACCCCCTATTCTGTAAGGTATATTCCTGAATTAAGGGTATTGGGTTCTCTGGGCTACACCCTACGACCTTGAAAAGAAACCATTGACAACCTTTGCAAAGCTGATTCGGCTCCTCTTGCGCAGGTGGCGCAAGTCTTGACCCACGACCGCAAGCTGCTCGCCACCGTCACTGCGTGCCTTGGCTCAATGGTCTGAGAAAGGTTTACTTGGAGGATCGTGGGACTTAGTGACTAGGGTTAGAAGTACCCTCATTGGGGCTATAAGAAATTGTAGCTACAGTTACCCTATGCATAACCCCAATTACCAAGTCCCATGATCCTCCAAGTATGGTCTAGGGGATGGAGACAGGTCGGATGAAGGAATCCTCGCAATAAGACTTCCTATACCAGATTCCCCCACCCTACCTTCGGTGTTAAAGGGGTAGTAGGATCCTGAACAAAGGGACCCCAAGCTATAAGCCTCTCTGTTACATCTTGTTTTGGGGTCCTTACAATAATGATCCTTCTACATAGGGTACTATATTAGGGTCTCCTATAATCGGAAACTCCCAAGTATCTTTCGCTGTTTTGTTTTGGATTGCCGTATCTTTGGGCTTGTATCCTGTCAGTGGTCTCGTATAGATCCAAGACAGTCGGATCCTGTCCTTAGGGGCTGAGTAGGTAACCTTCAAACTCTTCGGGCTCATAGAATCCTACTACGATTCAATAGCATAACCGATTTTGGGTTAGGGTAGTCAGCCCCTAAGTTTCATTTTTTCAGAATTCCCCCGAAAGCTATCTGGGTTTCGGAATGTCGGACGCTTCTGTGAAGACTGGGTAAGGAGGTTCGCATGATACAGGGACGTAAAGAATTGAACTGGGGTTTTATGTTGGCGTAAATTGCTACACTTTTGTTATGATGAGGATCCCTAAGACATCTTTTCGCTTCAATATTGGGGTGTTGGGGGCTTTCGGGTTTTGTGGGAGATAGAGCTTTGGGGTTTTAGGGACTTGCAGCATTAAGTCTCTATGACTTTTGTTTTGTTTAGCGGGCTTACTTACAGTTAGTGGTTTGCAAGTAGGGCTGTGCATTTTGCACCCCCAGTAAACTGCGAGCTGAATCCCAGAGTCCATCAAGAGCAGGGCATTCTGCTGATGTGGGCGGATGCTTTTGTCCCAGCTGTCATGGTCAGTTTGAGACGAAGTACGGACGCACATAGGGTTGATTCTATACATGATCGGAATGCGGAACCCTGACTCCTAATGCTTCAGCACTACATCCTGAAAGCTTCTCCTGAAGCCTAATCCGCTTTCCTTTCAGCCGGTCACCTACAACCCCTTTGAAACGTTGCAAACCCGTCTCATAGAACCATTCCAGAACACGCATAAAGACCTCATAGGAAGCCCTCAACCCTCTAAACTCCAAGCCCTAAATAACGCCTGCATGGCAAGCCCTGAACCATCCTAAACTTTTAAACCCCTAACGTTTTTAGCTCTGCCCGTCTCATGTGCCCTAAGGCGCCTGAGCAGTGGCAAGGACTGGACCTGAAGTATCTAGAGCGAGCTTTGTGGGGATTATATGGGGTTGATCAAAATAATGTGCCGTTTTGAGGTCTGTATTACAGTATACTCCTCATAGTCTAGGGGCCCGAAAGGGGCCCATAGTTTTGATCAGTGCTTTATAGGTTCTCTGAGGTGTCATAGTGTTTTTAGGGCAAAGCGTTTCAGGAGTGTTTCGGGGAGTAGTAAGGGGCTCAGTACGTGCATGCTGGAAATGGCCCAAGAGCGAATTCAGCTTCCCAATTCCCTGAAAGCCCCAGGAAACTTTAACCCCTTCGAACCGACATGGAAAGCTTTGCTGTTTCTTTCCACCTCGAAGGAGCTCGCCGACCTCGTGTTCGGCACCGATTCTGCAGAGCTGCCACAGGGGCAGCCGACGGAGAAGGCGGCTCGATCTTCAGCGGGGTGGCGGCTTGAGGGGGTTTGTTGGGTTTGGGGCTTTAGAGTTGTAGAAAAGGGTTGTTTCGTGTCTACTTGTTGGGGGGGGGGGGGTGGTTGGAATCAGGGCCTAGGTTTTGAAACTGTGCCTTTTGGCTTCATCCCTTACCCCTTATCCCCGAATCTCTAAACATCCCTCATGTCGGAGACTCTCAACCCCTACCAACACCCACAAAAAGGCCCCTTCAAATCCTACAATCCCTCTGAGGGTACTACGGAGCTCTATAGTAGGGTTCCCTTTGAAGGGTACTATGGGGTTCTATAACAGGGTCCCCTTTAAAGGTACCATAGGATTCTACACTAGAGTTCCATTTAAGGGCACTGTAGGCTTCGACAATCCTTGCAGACTCCGTAAACCTCGAACCCCCAAGCCCTAAACCCTCCCCCCAACCGTTTAAACAGTTTAAACTGCTCCTTCAAATCCGACAATCCCTATAGAGTGGTGGTGGCAGGAGTGGTAGGAGTCCTTGCAGGCTCTCAAGGCCATCCTGACTGACCCAGAGCTGGCCAAGAAAGCGATCAACCTGACAATGACCACCCTCAGCCGAGGCAAGGCGTGTTTTGATACTGAAGACGGCAAGAAGAATACCATTTAATATGGTATTATATAGGTACCACGCGGGGTGCTACCAGGGGCTACTCTAAGAGTAGCAGAGGCCGTGCCCTCGGCTACTGTTATTAGGGGTACTTCAGGGGCTACTAGAATCAAGAAGGGTTAATTACTCAAAGAGGTAATATAACGGATACTAATAAGGGGCTCTATGAGGGTACTATAAATATGTATAAATACATACATACATACATACATACATACATATATATATAGATATATTTGTATGGCTCCGTGTTGAGGGCTCTTTGGGCTTATAGGAGTTATTGCGATACGGGTTCCGATAACGGCTGCAAAGGTTCTTCACGGTTCTGGGTTCAGGGCCACGGCATCAGGTTTTCGGCGTGGGACGGTGTGGTGTTTAGTCTTCAAGTTTACGGCTTAGAGGTGCTGAGTTTAGGGCGCCGAGGGCGGCTGGAGCTATGAATTTCAACAGTTTCTGAAGATCGGGTCTCAGTGAAGACTCTCCAAGAACGAATGCTGCGCTGTTGTCCCAGATATTCAGGTGTCTTCTCCGGGCCTTTCAGGCCTGGTGATGCATCGGCTTCCCCCGGTTTCGCTGGCGCTAAATTGTCGGAAGGTGTGATGTCGAGTCGCTCTTTATGTAGTAACGCTAGGCCATAGCGGCACACGTACGTGTATGTACACCTATACATACACACGTCGAAGTAGAATATGTGTATACATACTACATACATGGGTAGCTGTCAAATTAGGCTCCCTTTTTGGCTCATGATTATAATACGGCACCTATTATTTAGGGTACCCAAAAGGGGACCCCAATTCTGACAACCACCCACGTGACATTAACAGATACCAGTGGCCTCCCTCGGAGGCGTCTCGAAGCTGGCGGCTGGCAAGACCTTCGCCGACGAGGTCTTTGGTTCGGACACCAGCCGCCTGCGACTTCGGCGAAAAGAGTGACGGAACCCTTTCTTTCTACGCTCAGACCGTACAAATGCAAAGACAATCCCTGGCAAATGCATCTTAAACCATGAAGTTTTGAAACACAGTATGACTTATGTACACTTAGCTCCACCCGGAATTCACTAAGTAGAAAAGGTGTACACAAGCCCAACAAGCCGCGAACCCAGAACCCAGCACCATGTGCCGGTTTTGGATGAGTTCAAGCTTTCCTTCTCGATGGAACATGGAGCTGTAATTTCATACTATGTCCGGGCTGTGGAAATCGACCACGGACATCTGGCCAGAAAAGAAGCCTATACTTCTCAAGCTGCTATGGTAGGCTACAATATACCCCAAGAGCCGTCCCATTGTTAAGGCCCTAACCCCTAAACCATAAACCCCTAAACCCTAATTACGTTCTCTGCAACGAAGGATCGGCGAGGCGTTTCATCCCACAGAAGCGCCCGAGGAGGAGGTGCCCAGCGCCATCATACCGGAGAAGGCAGTTTAGGGATTTGGGTTCTGGGGTTTAGAGATTTCGGTTTCGGGGCTAGGGTTGAGGGTTTAGGGAGTAGGGTTCGGTTTGAGATGCTGCTTGGATCTCAGGACCGTAACTTTTTCTGTTTTCCTAGGAGCCGAGAGGTGTGGGGTTTTCCAGAGAGCCCAATACGTACCCCATACTTGAGGAGTATACCTTGAATAATAGGGTTGGCTTAGTATTTTGATTTAAGGTATATGCCTGAATTAAGGGATATTGGGATCTCTGGGTTTGAGGCGTGGTGTTGACAGGAAGTACTATCTATGTTACATACGCGAGTCCAGGGATCAGGGGACTGCAATTCGGGTGTCAAGCATGGCTGCCTCTGTTCTGAACAGGTCTATGCGACACTACGGCTGATGGTAAAAATCCTGCATTACCCATAATAAGGAATGTACCATAATTCCCATAGTTTACGGTCCTTAAGGTAATGCAGGATTTATATCATCAGTTTCAGATCTCGAGGTTTGGTATCGCCTATTCCGAAACGCAGACGAGCACTACTGACGGGGACGACTACTGCGGTTGATGATATAAATCCTGCATTACCACAAGGACCCTAAACTATGGGAATTATGGTATATTCCTTATTATGGGTCATGCAGGACTTATATCATCAACCGTACCGCTGCTGCTGCTGTGCCTGTTCTTGTTCTCGATGTTTCACATGCTGCCATGGTGGTCGTGTGGCAAGACCTTTTCTCTGCAGGCTCATGCAGAAGATCCTTCTGCGGTGAGCAGACACTCCCATGACAGCTGAGTTTAAGCTATTGCTGCGTCCTGAAGACAACCACAAAATGGAAGCCTGAGTGGTTGCTAAGTCCATTCCCTCAGGGCTCGTATAGTACAGATATGTACGGAGTGTAATGGGATATTATTTCTGGATACTCCCACCCCTATACCCTCAACCCCTCTGTCAAGTGCCCTTTTCGAGCCCTTGAGGGAATACTGACAACATCCAGGAAGCTATGTTTCTAAGTATTGGGACCTCTATAAACAAACACCCCTGAAAACCCGTAAATATTGAACAAGACCACAAAGCTGCATAAGACCACACTAATCCTGACGCCGCCATCACCCAAGCACTGCCTGAGAAGGCCGCGACGACTGCTGCTCCGGGTGAGGAGAAGGCATGCCCGTTCGATGTGGTCTATTCGTGACTTTCTCTTTGGGGGTTCTATACTGAGGCTTTTGGTCTGTTGGTTTTTTGTAAATAGGGATCTCCCCACATGTGTGCTTGCCTACCTTCCAGACACACTAGAGGCTCGCAGGTGTGTTCATTTGGGGAATATGCGTGAATGGTTTGCTGTCCGTTGATTTGTGACATGTCCGTATGGCTTGCAACCGTCAGAAACTCTGGTGAAAGGAGCCCTGCCAAGATCCCTGATCCTTCGGACTAGGATTTTCCAGGCGAGGCGAAAGGTAGTCCGAGCGTTTAGGCTGATGTTGTGGCGCTGTTTAGCTTGGATTTCGGAGCTTTGGGTGCTGATGTCTTCCGGAGGCCCCGACGACGGCTGCCGCCACTGGGGGCAGCAGGGTGCGCCCTCCCAGTCCCATTTTGTGCCTTCAGGGTTAAAAGCCATTCTCAGTAACTTTTAACCATTTCGGAGTACTATAGCCGCTACAGCCCCTATCCAAGTTGGAAGACTAACCTGTAGTTCTACAAGGATACTGGACAAGTAAGCATTTTATGTTATGTCTTCGCTGCGTTGCTGAGGGTTTAGGGATGCAGGATTTAGGTGTGTGATTTCGGGGTCAGGCTTTGAGTTTTACAGGGCCAGGGCAATCAGCAAGAATACTATAGAAGGTGTCAAACTCAGTGCAGACTGGTTTAGGCAGTTAGGACACTTGTAACGGTACATGCGAAATACCCCAAAAATTCTGTTATGCTGATTAAGGCTTCTGGAATGAAGCTCAAGATCATGGTTGAGGCGGAGCGACCACCCTCAAAAGGTGCTCCTAGCAAGTAGACGAACCGCAGCAGTGGCGAGGATCGGCAGTCTCAGCAGCATCCATCATCTCAGTACGACCCGCTTTCCGGGTCGATTGGGGCCGCAGTCTACCCTTGCCCAGACCCCCGGGAGGAACTAGAAAGTAGATCCCCTAATTTGGGGCCCTATGCTAATAAGGGTACTTTATAGGAACCCCCATTGAGGGATCTACTTTTTGGATCCTCCTTGGAGTCTGGGTGCACGCCCAAAAAGGTTGGTCCTGACAGCAGATCCGGTTTACCAATCGGCTCCTCTTACTCAGCACAAATCCTTCAACAAAGGAGCGCGACCCCAAAGCACCAAACACCAACCCCCACCTAAGCCGAAGATCCCTAAACCCTTAACCCACTAGGTTTAGGGTTCAGGGTTTAGGGGACCCTAAACCGTAAAGCCTGAACCCAAGATTGCAAGGTCTCGGGTGCCCCAGCGGTGCCGACAAAGGAAGGTGCGAAGGCGGACTCGGCGGGAGCTGCAGAGTCAAAAAAGTTTGAGATATCCGAGTTTCCGAAAATTAGGGGTACCTAAGGGTTCCTTTAAAGGGTTACTATAAGGGTTCCTTTAAAGGTCTCTAGAAGGGTTTAGAGTTTCCGAAAAGTGGGGAGGTACCGTATTTTGGGGTCCTGATAATAAGGATCCTACTACTTAGGGTACTATATTAGGGTTCCCTATTTTCGGAAACCCCCATATTGGGGTTCATGCAGATCCCTAAACCCTGCGTTGTCCAGGGCGAGACCACCACGGAAGAAGCCGGGATCAGCACCACGGCGCCCGAGGAAGGGATGAAGGCCTGGGGCTGCTTGCAGAAGGATTCCTCAAAGGGTTCCTTTCAGTTTAGGGTTCAGGGTTTGGGGTTTAGGGGCTTCGGGGTTCTATTAGGGTTGCTTTAAAGGGCTGCTATCGGGGTTCTGTAAGGGTTGATTTCAGAGTTCCTTTAAGGGTTCTATAACGGTTGCTTTAAAGGGTTGCTTTCAGGGTTCCATAAGGGTTACTGTATTTAAGTGTTTGTACACGCACCGGTTTTCTGAAACCCCCGCAAACCTCGAGAGAAAGCTGACCATTTCGATCAAGGGCTTCAGTAGCTCCGTTGATTATCGAGAAAGACAGTCAAAGGGGAAAAGGAGGGACCCTTAATGGGGACCCCTACCCTATAATGGGCTATATTAAGGGTATATACCTAGGGGTCCTTATTGAGGGTCCCTCCTTTTAACCTTGTTGACAGGACGTTCATACCTTGGCGGTTTTGGGCGTGGAGCTTGGCTCAATCTTGAACCCAAGAGCTTCCATGGTTAAAACAGAGCTTGGGCTTGGGGTACCTACTTCAGACTAATCCAACTTGGGGGACGAGAAGGGGCATAGGATTCTAAGGATGTGGGTTGGATACTGCCCCCACTCATTGAATCATACTCATTTCGGGCATAGATACACGAAGCTCTTAATAATTCGCTCTATTCCAGACTGTTACTGTACGGTAAAAGGCAGTAACCCTAAATAAACCTTATACCCTAAACCCTAAAGCCCAGATGCAGACCACAGGCAGGCGGAAAAGGCCATTGCACATAACAAAAAAAAACAAGGCAGTACCCAAGATTTCGGATGGTCGATCTCGGCTTTGTGGAGGTCTTCGGTGTGGACTTGCCAAGCCTGCCCGTGGAGATTCCCGAGCTGCAGCTTCCCCATGTGCCCTGGGCCGCCTTAAGGTAGGGTTGAGGGGTTTAGGATTTAGAGTCCAAGGTGTAGGGTTTGGGAGTTTAGGGTTTAGGTGTTTCCGGGTGTAGGGTGAAGGGGTTTAGGGTTAAGGGTTTAGGATTTAAGGTAGGCCGCCGTAAGGTAAGGAGCTTCATGGCCCTTCTATGAACCCTTGTAGGAGCCCGTAAAGGGACCCCGTGAAGGATCCTAAGAACCCTGCGAATTTGTATCCATCTTAACGTGACTCTTCTTAGTGGTTGTGTTCTGTGGTTCTGCCTTTTTTCAGAGAGGTTTTACCGAGAAAGCGAGTTGTTCTTGCATACTTTGAGGGTCAGTATTTAGTCAACGTTGAGGGGATCATGATGGTGTTGATGCTGATGGCGATGCTGACGATAATGGTGACGATGCTTATCAGAAACATTGTTGTTTTTCGTGTCTCAATATTATCTGTTACCCAGACCCCCGGAAGGATCTAGAAAGTAGATCCCCTAATATGGGGCCTTAAACTACCAACTGTAGTTTATAGGAACCCCCATTAAGGGATCTACTTTTTGGATCCTCCCGGAGGTCTGGGTAACTGTTAAGGATGACGATCATAGTGACAATTATCCGCCTCTCTACCTTGCGGCATCCCCACAGCCCTGCCATGCCTCGGAGCTTGCAATGATAAATCGATTTGGGAGTTTCCGAAAACAGGGGTACCTTATTTCGGGGGTCCTTATAATAAGGATCCTATTATTTAGGGTACTATATTAGGGTCCTCTATTTTCGGAAACTCCCAAATCGATTTGGGCTTAGAGTTTAGGGTTTAGTTTGGGAGTCGAGTTAAGAACTTCCGCCGTCTAGCTGTTTAGGGCATGTGGGGTGAGCTTGGGGGCCCAAACCCTCAAGTCTGACCAAACTACACGGGCCTAAATGATTAGCTAGATTATTCCTTAATGCATTTCTACTCTAAAGTACCCCAAACCCGATTGTACTTATTTCAGCCCCCAATATGCAAGATAGCTCTTCCTTTTGTGCGTCCAAATCCTGAGGTGCCTAATCCTTTCGACCTTTTCAGATGAGGCGCCTTTGGATTCGGGGATCCCCGTGTCATGGAATCCCTTATATTTCTGAAGCGTTTGCTGAACGCAGGCTATTCGTGTTTTTGAGGGCTCGAGTTTCAAAGCGCGCCAATGCTTAGGGAGGTAGCACGACTAGGTGTTGCTTGACTTTTCAACATAAATCTTGCAGCCGGGTTTCGCGGAGTGGATTCGAGATCTTTCCGGATGGCATGGTCAGGTAGTTGATTCGGGGTCTTTCTGGTCAGGCAAGTCTTCAAGGGGAACATAGGGTCCTGAAGAATTAACAATACTATTGATATCAGCTCACTATATTATGCCCAATTTCAATATGACCCTACTCTCATACTTAGGGCACCTTTTTAGCAAGCTTTCATTTCGCGGACATCTTTGCTTGGGGTCGAAACTTTTCGGCGCAGAAGGGAAGCATGGCGAGAGTCAGAATTTGTGTGGTTCTGCAGATTTCCGCTTATAAGGATGCCATACCATTTTTTTGGGATTTTTCAAAAGGGACCCTAGTTTAGAGAACTTCCCGTTTGCAAGTAGCATCCTTCGAAGACTGGCGGGTTGAAGCCTCAGCCTTTGGCGTTCTGAGCTCTGAGCCCTGCATTGCGGTTGCATGTAGGCGCCTGAGTAAGAAACCCTGGGTCCATAGTAGGTGTTGTCGTGCGGTTACAAGACCGGGGCTTCTCCATCAGGTTCCTATATTTATGGTTTAAGGGTTTCCGGTTTTGTTGACTTCTGCAGCAACCACACGAAACCACCCAAGCACACGTGTACAGAGATGGTATTCTGAGCACTGACAATCGAAATGTGCAGAAAGACTGGCTCGAAATCTGTTCTCCTTCGTCGCCTTGCCAACTGTGTGTATGTATATATGTATGCATGTATGTATGTATGCATAAGGGTCGGGGCACTGCACTGGTGGAGATGATGATGATTAGATGTCGGTCATCATCTTCATTAGGATGGCAGTGCCGATGCCACGGCCCGGACTGATTGCCAAACTTAAACACTCCAAACCGAGCTTCACGACGACGACGAAGCGTCACTGAATATCAAAATCGATGACCCCTGCACAAGCGCAACATCCTTTTTCTCCAAGGGTAAAAGGAAATAAGGACCCCTAGGTATATATCCTTAATATAGCCATTATATACCCTTTATATCGCCCATTATAGGGTAGGGGTCCCCCTCCTTTTCCCCTTTGATTTTCGCTTGGACAGGTAGCTCTTAGTCCCATGGCGCTGCTGGAGCCTCTGAGGCAGCAATCTTGAAACCATGGCTGGCAGATGACTTGTTCAGCCCTGCAATAAGTGGAATCAGACAGCAACTACACTGGGGCTTAAACACTAAAGGATGGTGAGCCGGATTGGGGTTGGTGTGCGAAGACTATCGGAGTGTTTCGAGTCTTGTCTCTCCTCTTCTTGACTGTCGCGATGGTCATTCAAAAAACACCTGAGACCTAAACCGTAGGCCCTCAACACTGGACTAAGCCAGAAGTCCTGAACCCTACGACTGTTTGAGTCTAAGAGTGCAAGAAGGTCTGAGCTCCGCGTTGGCCTTACGTCTCTCACTGAGAGACAGTTGACATTCTCACTTCACGAGTCTGCGGCGAAGAGCTGAACTCATCGCTTTCGGATGACGTGCCGTCGCAGCTCGCGCCCGAACGCAGGCTTCCCCTCCTACTCCTGCAGACCCCAAGTCTTAAGCCTTAGGGATTTACGAGAAGTATTTGGAGATTTATCGGTCCAGGATTTGGGGTTCAGGTTTTGTTGCAGGGTTCGAGCTAAACACAGGTCTTTCAAGCCAAGCCCCAGACATGCGAGATGTGCTTGGGGCACCTGGGGGCCAAATGGCAACCTGGCCCTTACGACACTGACACTGTGCTAGCTGGGCGCAACCGCTGCGCGCAGAAAAGGAGTCAGCATTCCTGGCGTCCTCTCGAGTTTAGGGCTTAGCCTAATGCAGAGTCCTTAATAATTAGAAAAGGGTTTGGGGATACACTATAGAAAGAATGCAATAAGGATCCCCCAAAAAACCTAGTCTAACTATTAAGGCCCCCATATTGAACCCCGAACTTAGCCTTTTCGGGCGTTAACCCCTTCATCCTGAGTGCCGAAGCTTGACCGGCATGCCGTTCGAGGCCGAATCCACGGCTCCGGCCCAAACTATTCATCCACGGTTTAGGGTTTAGGGTTCAGGATTTAGGGCCCTGATGAACAATACTAATCCACTGCACACTTCCTAAACTGTGAAAGTACGTAGGGCTTCAGGGCATAATACAATCTAACGACATAGGAACTATAATTACCACTACCACTAGTTTAGTGTGTAGCATAGTGCAAGCATACAGTCTTACGCAGAGCATAAGAGCATAAGACTCCTAAGCACCTAATCATTAGGGCTCCAAACTGCAAAGCATGACCCCAACTTCCGATGCCCCATCCCTTGCACGGTGCGATTTGGGGGGGGGGGGGGGGGGGGGGGTCGACACGCTATTAGGGTGTTGAAACAGGGTGATGTAGACCTTCATTCACAAACCCCACCTTCAAAGTCAGGATAATAGGAATCCTATTTCTAAGGGCCGCAAACAGAAGAGCTTTTACTTTTATGAATCAGGGGTCTACATTAAGCTCTACATGTATGTTTATTAAACCCAAAGCCCTAAACTTATCTTCAGCCTTGTGCCCTAAACCCTACAATTCTCCCCTATTATAGAACCCTGTAGGACCCTTAAAGGGAACCTTAGGGCCTTAAAGTACAACTCTCTTAATCCCTCAATCCTAAACGTATCCGTAAGCCCTGTGCCCTGATAGTAACCCGTATAGATCCCTTAAAGAGACCCGAAGCCCCCCATAGATCCCTTCAACCCTACTTGGAGGATCATGGGACTTACTACGTATGGTTATAGTTACCTTAGTTGCGGTTATAAGTATAGTTACCCTAACGATAACCTTACTTACGAAGTCCCATGATCCTTTAAGTAAGGTCCCATTACAGAGAGCCAGAAGACCCCTAAATCCCTAAACCCTAAACCCCTAAACCCCTAATCCCCTAAACCCCTAAACCCTAAACCCTAAACCCATAATCCCCTAAACCCCTAAACCCCTAAATCCCTAAACCCTAAACCCGTAAACCCCTAAGCCCTAAGCTTATCTTCCGAGACTCGGAGGATTCCTTCGTGAGCTACTCTCCCTTGCTGGGCAAGAACAACGTACCCCGCCGACCTATCGCCTCTATTGCGGGGCGCTTAGGGTCTAGGGGTTTAGGTGTTTAGGGGTTAAGGTCTCCGAAAGGGCCTACCTTTTTAGGGTTGCTTATTATGGTTTCTGTATGTAGTTCCTTAAAAAGGTAGGGGTCATGTCGGCTACAGGTAAGGTCTTAAGCAGAGGAGTTGGGGGTTTTACAAGGGTGCTATGAATCAGAACGGTTTGGTGGTTTACCAGTCTGCCAGTCTGCATTAGTACAAACGCAAAGCCGGCGCTCATATTGTGTGTCGAGTACATCTTTGCGGAACCTGGGTCGTGTAGGGGCCTTCATACCCCGACCCTATTTACTGTAATTGAGGCAAGGAGCCTGAAGAAAAAGTGTGCTTGATGAGTCAGGCTTCTATATACTGAGATTTCGCAGTGCTATGTGTTACCTTATTTGGGGAAACGAGGATCTTAAGAATACCTTGCAGAGGCTGTGACGGGCCTGCTGTTGGTTCCGAAATTGGAGATGCCCTTGCAGGTCAAAACCCCCCAAAAAGAAGCCTTATATGGAACTCCAGGCTTTGCGGACCCTACCATGCGAACCCAAAAAGCTCCTGGATTTCTACCCATCATGGGGACCCTTAGGGGGGTAGGGGTTTAGGATTCGGGGTCTTGGGTTTAGGGTTTTAGGGTTTGGGGTTTTAGGGTTTAGGGTTTAGGGCCAAGGGAGGGGGTTAGGGGACTGTATTTGCGTAAATAGGGCTTATTAGGTCCGTATCAGGCCCCCTGCCCTCCCTCCCTCTGCCCTCCTAAGGGTGCTTATGACACCCAGGTCGGGGAGTTGGAGCCTCCAAAGAAGGGAGCGCCGACGCTGCTCACGCTGGCGCAGGTTGCGGGAGGGCTTGGGGGGAGGCGCGGTTTTCAGAGTCGAGGTTTACTAGGGCTAGTTATAAGTAGGGTTATAAGTCCCCTCATGTGAGTTATAGGTATAGCTACCCTACTTATAACCCCACTTATAACTACCCATGAACCTCCAAGTAGGGCTTTGGGAGATGCTTTATTTCCCTTATTGGGCTTAAGAGGATCCTAAATAAATATTCTTCACAGGCTTTAAAGGCCCCACCTAGTTTAGGGGTTTGCGGGTTGCTTTAGGCTTTTAGGCTTTCGGGGCCCCAGCCGCCAACAGTTGTCATTGTGCGAACCATCTCAGAACCAAAGAGGTAACTGCGAAGGTTCAGGACTCCTGTCGCTGAACTCTGCTATCCAAAACAGAAGGATCCTTCATTGTAGAGACCCCGGGTCTCATACCCAACATGCAATAGAACTCTGGGACAAAATCGCTGTCAGATACAGCATCATTGCGCATTTGCTCATTTGTTATTCTCTAAAGCCTAAACCCTTAAACCCCCCAACCCCGACCAAACCCAAATCCCTGCACCACCAGGCCTTAAACCCAAAATAGCCGCAAACGTCTGTAGAGATGACTAGGCACACCGAAGATCTTATTATCGAGCCATTACAGGCTCATTGACAGAACCCGTAAAGGAGCCCTATTATTCGATGTTGTCAAGATCGCTCCTGCCAGGTTCGATCTCTGTTCCATGCGGCTGGTAGAGCAATGCAGCATCTGCTGACCATCCAGGAGCCACGTTGCAGGTGAGATGTTACATTGCGTTCATTCGCATATAAACTCCTGTTCATATCCGCACTAGTATTCTTATTCACAATATACTCCGTAAACCCTAAACCTAGTATCCCATGTTATTACTGCAACAAGTGCCCAGGTTTCCCAATCACCATGGTTTG